TTTTTTTTTTTTTTTTTGGTGGAAGGTAGGTGTATATTTCATTCCTTCTTAGTTGCCCTATTTCTTGATGATGATGAATGGTGATTTTGTTAATGAAATAAGCAGCTGAATAGTAGTCTGCTCTTAGTTGAAGAGTGGATTAAGAGATGAGAGTAGAATTTTGTTGTATAGCTTAAAATAAAAAAAAAAATAAAAAAAAGAAGATGAAGGGTGATTTTTTATTCCCAAAATCTTATATTAATCAAAATGGTGTGATTCTCAAGCCCTTTATCAATATTTGTGTACATTATAAATTCGTTCATGACTTTTTAGTTTATGTATTCTAGGAATATTAAATTATACATTTATAATAGGAAAGAATACGGTTACACAATTTTAGGTCAATTTGAAATTTAATGTTTATAATCAAAATAAATAAAACAATCAATATCACAATTAATTTTTTAAAGAATAAACTATAATATTGGAAATTATAGATATGTAAAGATTCCTATTTTAGAGTATAAATTTTTTTTTATCTTAATTACACAATAGGAGACAACTATCTCCTATTTCTTATTTTACCCCACTCGTATATTAAGTAACTCGAACTCAGGATTTCTTACTTTCAGTAATAAAAGATAATTATTGAATTATTTAAGTCGTTGACGTATACTTGTAAATTAAAGTACGAAATACATAATACAAATTATATAATTTTCATTAAAAAAGTACAAATTATATAAGACTAGCAAAATGTTAATATTAATTCAAAGTGCACTTAATGATTAATTTTTAAAGGCAAAAGCACATGTTAAGTTTATAAATTGACTCTATATTCTCAATTGAGTTTTTTATTTTTATTTTTATTTTTATTTTTAAATAAATAAACTTCTAAACTCTACTACACATGTAATTTTGCCCTCTTTTTAATCGTGGATTGCAAAATTACATACAAAAAAAGCGTCAAAGGGTATTTGTGCACCCTAAAATTTTCATTTCAAATAAGATTGCATATTTTGAAATCGATATTTTATTCAATTAATTATTTGAGATAAAATGGGTTGATTTTATTATTGAGAGAAAAAAAAAAGGGGTTTTCCTAAAGGAAAATATGGGTAAAGTTCTGATGAGAAAAGACCCATGAAATAATTGAAGTTTTAGCGTTGGGCCTGTCAGTTACAAAACCTTTGGATTTCAGTTTATTTACCGATCAAAACAAATTATCTTTACATGGTTTGGGCCTAAATTTTATTAAGAGAAAACTAGATTGGATTTTTTTTTTTTAATGTTTACAAATACAATTTTGATCCAAATCCTTTTAAAATGGAAAAACTCCCAGGCAGAATGTTTGAATTATTGAATACAAGCCAGAATCAATAAGGAGAAAAACAAAGCATAAAGGTAAAAATTGAATTCATTTCATTCCCTTTTCCAAACAAGTACAAAGAACTTAACATTAACATGGAAATATTGCTATTTGAAAATACAATACAACATGATTTTACAGCTAAAATGTACCCAAAGTGAATCTTCCTCGTTAACAGCTCGAATGGGCGGAAGGCAAAAAGAAACAGTAGTCTGAAGGAAACAACAGGGAAAATCAACAGTCAACTAAAATTTAAAGGAAAAGAGAGAAAACACATAGAGAGCATACAAGTAAAGATCATATAATAATATTAATTATTTAAATAATTTATTAATCATCTTCTCTCGCTAAAAATAAGAGATTTTAACTTCGAATCACATGACATGCAGATGAGATAAGATAAAGGATGAAAGATGATTGTCTCTCATTATGCAATCAAGATAAAAAGAAAAAAATTAAACTATAATTATTTAGATGTTTTGCCAAAGACTCAAGACACAAAGTCTTCTAGAGCAAACAAAATTTTCTGAATCTAGTGCACAACGGTACAGCTTGTAACAAAGAAAAATAAAGGGCTCCACATGTAAAATGTTCCTTTCTCAATTCATTATCATTAGAACCAAAATATCTTCAAAAATCAAT